CCTGACTCTCCACTGGCCTCTTGGCTCCTGGCTCTCCCCTCTCCCCAAACCTCTCCTCTTAAGGTCCAGCTCAGTCATGTCTACTCTGAACCCTTCCAAATGCCTCTAGCTAAGCTCTCCCCCATGTCTACAATCAACCTCCTCCCCCACTGTGCCTAGGAGCAGTCATGGCTTTCTTTTATTTCTTTCATTCACTTAACAGAATGACTATAAGGTCAAGAGGCCACAGCACAGTTCAAAAATTTTAGAAATACGAATAGCATCTGTGTTAAATTACTCACAAGGAAGAAGCTATTGCTACAGAATCAGGCCACAGGAGAGCCAGAGTCAAGAGCAAAGAACTGTAGATACCAAAACTAGGGCCTTTTTTCAAAGAGGGGCAGTCTGAGTTCAGATGGGCAGACTGCTATTGAGCGGGTCACATCAATAGCTTGGACTGAACCAAACCAAAGCCCCAGAGACAGTCAGGAATTCTCTGCCTGTCAGCTCTTAGTGCACATGTGAGGTGTCTGTTAAAAGGTCTGTGCGGGGCTTTGCCATTGTGGTGCTCGGTCCCCACCACTCTGTGGGGTCCAGGCGAGAGAGAGGTGCCCATTCTTTGGCTTGGCACGTCCTGTAAGTTCTTGGACGTGGTCTCCCCTGATGTGATTTGAATATGTTCATGTACCTCTACAGTCTCCATCCACCCTGATAAGCTCATAGGGCAGAACCCTTGCTACCCCCAGGGATAAATGGTCTATCAGTTATGTCACATGAGTGATGCAGGACAGATGGCATCGTTTACCCCTCCACCCAGAAGCCCAGTCATCCTCCACCCTCAAAATGGAGTTAAAAGCTGCTTCTGATGGAGTATCACGGGACAGGGCACAGGCTAAAAGACTTCTGTTTCACACGATGCAGAGCGTGTTAGAGTAGAACACAGCCTGATCGCAACACCTTCACCTCCCTTGAACTTTTCGGTCCTCTTCACACCATCCACAAAATAAATTCTAAGAAAATATATGAATTTTAAAAAGGAACAGGAAAATAGCTGATTTAGGCTCAAGAAGCTACACTTAGGCGTTTCCCACTCAGTAGAAATAGATTAATTTGATAGATCACGTTGTACCTTACTTGATATAATGTCTTCTCTTCAGTGAGTACTTTGACAAGCTTGTCAAAGTCAGATGACTGTAGATGAATAGACCTACATCTCGTCTTCTTCTGGTTTTGGGTTAGTACCATGCCAACTTCCTTAGCATGGTTCTGTGACCTGACTTTAGATCAGTGATGATGATCCCTTCAGTAGTAGCTTTTCTTCGCTCAGGATTGCTTTGGCTGTGCATGGTCTTTTCTGTTTCCAAATGAATTTTAAGATGGTTCTTTCTTCTGCTGCTTCTGTGAGGAATGGCATTAGCGTTTTTATTATTCCTTTAAAAACGGCGGCGGCGTGGGTGTGTGGACAAACACAGGATAGACGAGACGCAAAGGAAGAGACGGACACGCGGCTCCCACGTGGGTGCGCTTTAATGGGGAGAGGGGAACACAGTAAGGGGTGGGACGTGCAGACACACAAGGGTAGGGGGGAAAAGGGCCAAGAGAGGGGCCAAGAGGGCAAAGCCTCGTGGACCTTCGCTTTTAACGGGGGGCGCAAGGTTATCTGGGAGGAATGGCCTTCACCTGGGCGCGGCCAGCGCGCACACAGGTGACGGTAATCCAGGAGAAGTCTGGGAGCTGTAGTTTCCAAGGAATAACAGTTTTGACAAGGGTTGCATTGAGTCTGTAGACAGCTTTCGGGAAGAACCATTTGTCACAACATTGGTTCTCCCGGTTCCTAAGCACCAGAGGCCTTTCTGCTTCCTGAGTCCTCAGTGTCTTTCTGGAGCATTTTGAAGTTTTCACTGGATAAGTGCTTCATTTCCTTGATTAGGTTTGAACCTCTAGAGTAGTATGAGTTCAGTCAGCAGGTCCCCTGTCAGGGTGGCATTCAGCCACAGCAGCCTGGTTCTGACCAGTGTTCATGTGAATTCTTTCTCCCCTGCAAAACTACCAAGGTGACTCTAGATGGCTCCCCTGCTTGGGCTGCAAGCTTGTGGCAAGTGGAAAACTTTCCAGTAGCCAGGGTTGGCATTATCGGTGGGGATGGAATTTCCAAGGATTCTCTTTGATTTTATTTTTTCCCTGCAGAGCAGAGAGAGTCTTTAGTTAGTCGTGTATGAAAAAACAGAGGCAGTGTGTGGAGCAAACTGATCCTCTTTCTAGGCTCTTGTCCCAGGTAGGCAAGTCTCAGGAATGTCTGGTCTCTCTATTGCTGTGCTCTCCTAAATGGAGTCAGCAGGTTGTACTTGCACGTACATATGCATATATGTAACAGCAGTCAAAGAAGAGTTCATGAAAATGGGATAGGATGTGGAGGTGGCATGGGGTGGAATGTGGGAAGAGTTGGGGGTGCTGGAGAAAGGGTAGAAATGATGCAAACACAGAACTCAGGCATGAAATTTTCAAAATACAATAAATAAATGCAAAAAAGAAATTACTGTATTTTACAGTGCATTTCAAGTGGTAGACTCCATGGAGTTTAAGTTTTTATTGATTCTTTGTGGATTTCACCTCATGGGGTCAAATCCCTCTCATCTCGTGTTTGTAAAATAATTACTAAAGACCCAGTGATGTGGATTCTCCTCTGCATGCTGTGAATATGATTAATAAAGACCCAGTGATGTGGGAGTCCCCTCTGCATGCTGTGAATATGCTTTATTAGCATTGATGAATAAAACTGTTTCGGCCAATGGCTTAGCAAAGTAAAACCAGGCAGAAAATGTGAACAGAGTTATATAAAGAGAGTATGGGGCGGGGGGGTCAAGGAGCTGCCATGTAGCTGCCAAATGAGTAATCTACTGGCACCGGTAAGCCACAACCTAGTGGGAATGCACAGATTAATAGAAAGGAGTTAATTCAAGATGTAAGAGCTAGCTAGAAATATGTCTGAGTCATTGGCCGAACAGTGTTGTAGTTAATATAGTTTCGGTGTGATTATTCAGGTCTGGACAGCTGGAAAAGCAAGAGCAGTCTCTGCCTACAACGCAGAGACAGATATTGGGGTTCAAGCTGAAGATCAGAAAAACAAAGGAGCCAAGCCCCTTAAGAGTTCTTACCTCTACCGAGGCTCAGACAAAGGGGTGATCCTGTCCTCAATGTGACTAAAGACTGCAATGAGCTCTTGTCTCCTCTTCCCTTATATACCTCTCTCTGTCCAGCCATATCACTCCTGTCTCTACCTCCCTAATGCTAGGATAAAAGGTGTGTGATCCTAAGTGCTGGGAGCTTTGTTTGAGCTCTGTTTCTCTTTTTAGACAGATTCAATCTCGTGTAGCCCAGGGAATTAATTCCTGGACTTCAGTCCTGGAATTAAAGGTGTGTGCTAGTGTGGCTTAGTCCAGCACTCTGATCTTCAGACAAGCTTTATTTATCAAAACACAAATAAACACTATACCTTGTCCTTTTGTATCTGCCCTTGTAACCTCCACCCCCCCACACACACCCAAAAATAAAATTAAATTAAAAGAAAAATCTTATCATAGAAGCTGTATCTCTCATTAACACCCCAGGTTAGGTTCTTTGCATGGTGTTAGTACACATACTTTCTGCTAACAGCAGTTCTCAAACCACAGTCAGGCGCTCTTCATGGCAAGCTTCCGTTGGAGGATAGTGGGCATAAAGCCGAGCTTCCTTTGTCCTCAATGTTCACACCTTCAGTAAAAACCAGAAACCACGATCACACAGACCTGTGTTAGAAAAACCTCAAAATTGGGATTTCAGCACACATGAAGCTGAGGCCAGAGACGCTTGCCCTGGGCTAAATAGCTTTTGTTAAAACATACAAAAAAAATAGTAAATTTTTGAAACTTCTGTGATTTCTTAGCTCGATTGCCCATTGTCATTCCGAGCTACTTTGTTTTTTGTTTTTTGTTTTTTTGCTTTTTTTTAAATTTTTTTCCTTGTTTTTTTTTTAATTAATTTATTTATTTATTAAAGATTTCTGTCTCTTCCCCACCGCCGCCTCCCCTTTCCCTCCCCCTCCCCCAGTCAAGTCCCCCTCCCTCGTCAGCCCAAAAAGCAATCAGGGTTCTCTGCCCGGTGGGAAGTCCAAGGACCACCCACCTCCATCCAGGTCTAGTAAGGTGAGCATCCACGAAACTGCCTAGGCTCCCACGAAACCAATAGGTCCAGTAGAATCAAAAACCCATTGCCATTGTTCTTGAGGTCTCAGTAGTTCTCCTTGTCCAGCGAGACCAGTTTTGACCCAGGCTTTTTCAGACCCAGGCCAGTTGGCCTTGGTGAGTTCCCGATAGAACATCCCCCTTGTCTCAGTGTGTGGGTGCACCCCTCGTGGTCCTGAGTTCCTTGCTTGTGCTCTCTCTCCTTCTTGCTCCTGATTTGGACCTTGAGATTTCAGACCGGTGCTCCAATGTGGGTCTCTGTCTCTGTCTCCTTTCATCGCCTGATGAAGTTTAATATTCAGGAGGATGCCTATATGATTTTCTTTGGGTTCTCCTTCTTATTTAGCTTCTCTAAGAACCCTAATTATGAGCTATTTTGGATCTGCTCCTGATTTCCAGTGGCAGTTCATGGCGACCAGGCGCTTTAACTTCTCTTAGGAGCAAGTACTTACCTGCCTCTGCAGTATCTGGCCGACGTGTCGTATTTCCTGTTGTGTAATGTCAAAATTTATCCAGAAAACCTGTCTCAGTCCTTGTTACTTACCTTGTAGAATGATTTCTTGAGAATGGCATAATACAAATTATTGAATTTAGCATACTTTAAATCCTAGCTTAGTAGACTCGTGAGCAGAATATCTATCTTTTCCACTTTGGCAGCTCTAACAATACTCTCTGTCTAACTGTGCTTCTATCCCTCTGTGTATACTTAGGGGCACCGCAAAAAGGCAAAAAATGGGGCAAAGTGCCTTTTTGTGAAGGAGGAAGAAACAATTTGTCCAAGTCTTTGTTTGTTTGTTTTAGCTATAGACTTCAACGTGGCAACTATCTTAAAGAACCCAAGAGCACACACCACCTCCGTGCTCAAGGAGGAATCAACAGCGTCGAAAGTAGCGGCAAAGGTGTGCCCCGTACTGTAAGAGCTTTCCTTGTTCCGTTTGCAGTGTCGTTAAAATTGCCAGATTCACACAGTCATTCTGGCCAGCACATTCTCTCTCTCTCTCTCTCTCTCTCTCTCTCTCTCTCTCTCTCTCTCTCTCTCTCTTTTTGTTTTTTGTTTTTGTTTTTTGTTTTTTGAGACAGAGTTTCTCTGTAGCTTTGGTGCCTGTCCCGGAACTAGCTCTTGTAGACCAGTCTGGCCTCGAACTCCCAGAGATCCAACTGCCTCTGCCTCTGAGTGCTGGGATTAAATGCATGCGCCACCACCACCTGGCTGGCCAGCACATTCTCAAACACATGTTTTAGAAACGCTTAATGTTCAGATATTTATTTGGAGGTATGAATCTTAAATTTAAATGTTCTATTTTCTCCTGACAAGGCCACCATCTCTAGAGAAATTTCTTAAAGAACAAAAAGGATAGCATTTATCTTCTCTTCTGGACAGTTCTTGGCAGTGGTTTCTCCTTGGGTTGACATGCAAAGATAAGGTCTAGGGCACCCACATGGCTGTTATGGTTGCCGTGACAACTCAGTGGGATGTTGGCAGTGGCTGCCCTGTCTTCCCTTCTTAGGTGTGGCCCTGGAGGAGCCGACTCTGTAGATGCTGTTTCCTCGCGGACAGTTTAGGTCCTCTGTGGGGTTTTGTCTGTTTGTTTGCTTGCTTTATTTTTAAACGAAATAAGAAGAGATAGTTTATTCTGGAGCCATTTTGAGTGACTGTGGCTTAAGAACACAGATTTAGGTTTCTCCAAATTCCAAGTTCTATTGTGAACTGAGTTTCATGAAGTTTTATAGTTTTATAGAGCAAAGAAAGTCATGAATTAAGGTGAGTTTAAAATGCAGTGATGGGCACCTCAGAGAGTGGTTACAGCAAGATGGGGGAAGATTTTTCTAGAGGCCCAAAAGCGCTGTCTGATCGCATCCTTAGCTCTGGTGTGGGTAGACTCTAGTGGTCTGCTAAGTTAATAGGTTCCAAAAGGATTTTATCTAGTAGTCACAACATAGAATAATTAACATGGAGCTAGGCAGCTATGGCTGTTCAGAGAACTAAAGCTAGCCTGAGATAATGTACCTAAGCTAGTTACCCCACTCAACCCTAACATTCCAGTCTCCCACACTCCTCAAGTTCCAATTAGTCAGCCTGTCTCTGCAGACACAGCTTCTGTGCAGGACTTTCATCCACGGTTCTCCCTGTTGGACCAGCATCACACTTGGCACAGGCAGGGGCCTCATGCTATTTATTAAATATTATAAGGGCCCTTGTTCCTAGAATCTGCTGTAGATGAGGCTGAATAGTGGGCAGGACAGCAGTCTTCGGAAGAGAGGGATAGTTGGCCAAAGCCGTCAAGAAAACATTCAGATTTCTATCTGAAGTCTTCGGGGTCCTTTATGGGGCCTGACAGGGGGAGATGCCTCAGACGACACTATATTGCTTTAGGTAAGATTAGATAAGGTTGTTGACTTAAAATTCTAAATTTGATCTTTATTTTATATACTAGTCAGATTTTAAATATGTTACAGTCTTTTTCATCAAAATTTTAGTTTATCTTATGGGGTCTGACCATTATTCGGGAGTGGAATCTGTGCCCATATAAAATTGATTTTCTCAATTTCAGCATTCCTGTAGTTCCTGGTCTTTAATAATCTAATCTAATGAAATCTCCTCTTATCTTAAATATTTAGTAAGTTTTTAGGTCACAAATTGAAACCCGTGGGAGTTTCTCTGGGCAGACAATGTTGTCATAGCATTCTTTTTAATGGCTATATTGCCAAATCGAAAAGCAGAAGGAAGGAAGGGAATGGAAACTACTCATCTACTCTTCAACAAGCCCTGGGGATGGCGAGGATCCTCAGAGGCCACCAGAGAAGCACAGCTAGAAGGAGGGCAATTTTCTACGCCATTGGCTCCGTCCTGTTGCGTATCTTTGGCTGCTGCTCGGAAAGGTCAAGCCGTAGATTAGATGACTCATTAGTAAAGTTTATTACAGTTGCAGAAGCCCAAGACCTGCAGCTTCCCGGATAGACTTGTGCTTGGATCTGGAATGTCTTAAAAGGCTCCTATGCTGAAGGCTTGTTTCCCACCTGGGTTGCTGCTAGAGGTTGTGGGGAATAGTGAGTGGTGGGAGGTGACGCAGGTCACTGGGAAGGTAACTTCCAGGGGTGCTCGCTCGCTCTCCCTCCCCCCCTCCTTTCTTCCTGTTCTTCAGACTGAATGGAATCTCAGCCTTGTCATTTCAACAAAAGGCTAAAAGTGAAGCATGATGTCAAGCAAAATAAGTCAGACGTGAACAGACAAATGTTGCCTATTTTCCCTCGTACATGGAATCTCGGTTTAAACAGGAATGTGTATTTATACATCTGTATAGGACATGAAAGTGAAAGGGGCTATAAGGAAAGAAGGAGGAGGTGTAAAGAAGGAAATAGGGGAGAACGAGCAGAACTAACAGAGAGGGAAGAAAAAAAATCCCACTTTCAAGTAGGAGTGTGTGTGTGTGCGCGCACGTAGGTGTGTGTGATGGGGTAGCAGAAGAGGGACTATTGAGTGTAACTTGGAGAGAGCCTGGATATGATAGTGAAGAGTGAATATAAGCAAGATAAAATGATATATTCATCATAATGAAACCAATTATCTCATGATAACTAATATATTAGTAATAGATGATAATGGATGGAGGGATGGATAAAATTAGAAAAAAGCATCCTGAAAGAACATTGTAGCCTAAGAAGCTGGTAAATCCCCTTCATTAAGAAGGGACTGGAGAGATTGCTCAGTGGTTAGGAGCACTGGCTGCTCTTGCAGAGAACCTGGGGTTCAGCTTTCAACACCCACATGGTGGCTCACAACCATCTACAACTCCAGTTCCAGGGGATCTAATACTGCCTTCTGGCCTCTCCTGGCATTGCACACATAGTGCAAGCAAAACTCTCACAGACATGAAAATGGTGTTGGGTTTTTTTTTTTTTTTTTTGAAAAAGAAAGAAAGAAAAAAAAAAAGAAAGAAGAAAAGAATGTTTTATAGGATTACCTTTTATGTGTTTTGATACACCCAATGGGAATTTTCTTCATACTTACTGCGTAGGCTTATTTACAGTTCTCGAGAAGAGAAAAGAGGTAACTAAACCTGTGCTCTTTTCTTCCTCCCACAGTCCCACTACAGGAGCTTTGGTCCAGAGTTTCACCGCGTTCTCTTTAATTTCGGAGGTCAGAGCCCGCTAATTTTGTACTATCTTAAGATGCACGAGACAGGTGGTATTTCTGTCACTCATAACAAAAAGGGAAGTAAATTCACCAAGATACTCCGAGAGCCATATCCTTCCTACTCTGCTTCAAAACAGTCGGTCTCTAAGGCCCTGGAAACGGCTGACCTTCTGTCTCAGCTTTTAAGTGTGTTTTCACTGGCACTTTATGTAGCATTTGCTTAAGCCTTGTTTACTTCTGTAGCATGTCTGGCTTCACTGTTCTCTCTTTTAGCATCAAGAGTGTGCTCTACCTTGTAAGCAAAGCGAAGAAAACGCGAAGTCCCGCCCTCCAACATGGTCACGCCGAGTCCCCTCCCAAAAGGACAAGTCTGTCTTGCCACTTTGTTGCTCCGTGCTAGTTCAGGCATTTGTCATAATTGTTGGTCGTTGGATTCCCATTCCCCAAAAAGGGTCTTATGAATGCTTTACTTGTGGATACTTTGTACACGTGAAAAATACCCATCATGGTTCAGGGTTCACTGTAGACACAGAGGAGCCCTAACTGGGTCTAGTGCAGACCTTCCCTCTCATATGATTTTTCTTCACAATATCTATTTCTGTCTTTAAAAACAAAAGGTTACACTCTACAAATCCTTGGTAGCCAGATGCTCCGACTGAGCTCTGGTCTCCATCTGTACTCTCCTCTGACATGGGAGCAGCAGATCCTTGTGCTCACGTGACTTGTTAACAGCACAGCACATCGCTGCTTTCCTCTTAGGTAATAAGGAAATTTATAAATTCTGTCACCTATTTAAATTACATTAATATGCATGAATGAAGCAGTAACTTAAAACCACTCCTTAAAAGAAACCACAGGGTGGTGATAATAATGCAACATAAATATAAATATAGCTTATAAAAGTCTAAAAGTAAGGTTTCAAAGACAAGGAAGTGACAAAACTGTAATCTGTCTTTGCCTGCTGGAGCTCCTTCTCACTCATGCTAAGGGATGAACTCAGGGATGACCAGGTCCATCCTGCTCTGAGACAAAATGTTAAAAGTAAAACCTAACCAGAAAGTGGTTGGTTACTCTACTAGTCTGAGTTCTCTAAAGGAACAGAACTGATAGAATGAATTATAAATTGATTTAATGAAGAAAGTATTAATTATTAATAAAAATATCAATGAGCAGCCGATGCATGAGTATATTAATAATAAACTGATGAAGGGGATTTATTAGTGTGGCTCACAGGCTGTGGTACCGGGAGTCCACAGTGGCTGCCTCCCAGTGGAAAGGCCAAGAACGGGATAGTTGTGGTCCACGAGACTGGCTATCTCAGCCATCCCAGTCTGTCTGCTGGGGTTGCTGCGGATTTCCAGAGAGCTGCCGGTCTTCAGTCTGTGTTAGAATCCCACAGAATAGGTTCTAACACCAGGGGGTGTGGGGTCAGAACACAACTTTCAGGAGTTGCTGTGGGACTGTAGGTTCTGGAAACCAAACTCAGGTCGTCAGGCTTCTGCACAAATTCACGCCCTGAGCCACCTGGTCGTTCCCTTAGCAACACGCTTTTCAGAGGGATGTTACCGAGAGACCAGTCTCTTGCGGTGAGCTGAGGGAGTCTCACCTGCAGTCTCTCTCATTTATCTTTGTCTTCACCCTTTCCTGAGCTTTCTGCTTCCACCCATCCCCTCATTCTGGATTCTAATCTGGCTACTTATTTTCCAGATATTTCAACTCCTGTTTACTAAGTGTCTGAGTCTACCTTCTTACCTGGGTGTGCCTTCAGTTACCCAAGTCCAGGGTCCAAGCTGTTTCTTGCAGACACCTAACATTGGCAGAAAACCTATTACATTCTGGGCAGTATGTAGTATGCTGGGGATATGGCCACAGTCCACCTTCAGCCTGCCCACACTGTAAATTTTGCCAGGTCCCCTAAGGAGACGGCCATTTTATGGCCACCCTCACATGCCCTCTTTAGCACTTCCTAGTCTCACTCTCTCCTCAGTTTCTCAGAGCTGCTGCTCACTGGCCTCTGAGGATGGCGGCATGATCAGATGCCGCAAAGCAGGCTCTGTATGCACAGAAATAACAGAATCCCCAGAAAGTGGGTTTTCCCCATTTCCTGAGGCATGAGGACTGTATTTGACACATAGATGAAGTGCAGAGTGTTGAGCCAGGGGACCTTGATCAGGGTACCTTATCCTGAGAGAAGAGGGAAAGCGGGTCTCCAGGTTGCCTTTCCACGGAACTAGCTCTTCTGGGATGCTGGCTGCTTCCGCATCACTGTGTGCAAGAATATTTGTCTACGTGATCCAGTCTCAAGATGATCTGAGCAAATGTCACCAGTGAGACCAAGAGATTGGGGAGAGAATGAAGCAACAAGACGTGGAGAAGACTGGAGAGGTTCTGAGGGAAAGCCTTGTCTGTGTTTCTCTGGTGACTTCCCAGGGACACAGTGGCAGACTGGACGTAGCTCTGCTTCTTGCGTAGTGCAGAAGAAAAGATCATGAAAGCATCATCAGATAAAGGAGGGCGAAGTATTTTAATCTCGCTCTTGGTAAGAGTGCGTTTCATTCTATTTTTAGATGACTTTTACTTGAAGCTATTCTTCGCTCCCTGGGTGGGGGCTAAATCTCTTTTAGAAAACTTCCAGTTAAAAGTGTAGAGGAGGAGGACTTTTGAAGTGGAAATTGTTTTTTAAGAACACACAGAACAAAAGGGTTTTGTCCTGTGAGGCCAAGGGCAGGCATGTGCGCCGCAGGTATTCTGCAGCCAGCTGAAGCCAGAAGTAATTAGGAAAATGTCGTTAAGATGTGGTCCTTTCTTGTTACAAACTCAGTTTAAGTTACATTTTTTTCTTTTCTTTCTTTTTTTTTGTTGAAAAAAAAAGTGCAAAACACCACAACTGGCCAACTTGTTGTTACTCTAACAGTAAAATGCAAGAATACGGTTGCATTAGGTGATTAGGTTGGGCCGCTGACTTCTCAGGCAAACTTCGGATTTTGGAGTAAACCTGTTACTGTATGGGGTGGAGGAACAGGAGAGAAACTACCAGCATGGCCACTCTGTTAGGGGTCAAGTTTTTATTGTGGGTTAGATATCCAGAGACAAAATATCCAGAGTCATTTGGAATAGTCCAGAGCCGAGAGAAAAGAAAACAGACTGGGCACAGCCAGCACTGCGGAAGCCGGAGAGAGGGAGAGGTGGTGGAGAGAGCGGGAGATGTAGCGAGAGATGGGCAAGAATGAGAGCAGAGAACACAAGAGCAGAATAGAGAGCACGTGGACAAACCATGCGGATTACAGGAGGAAGAGAGCTGGGGGAGGGAAAACCTGTTGCACAAGTTCCTGGGGTTTGCTGGTTTTTATCAAACCACCAGAAATCCTAGTCCAGGTGCGTGGAGGGCCTGAGACCTAACAGCTGCCGTGACTCTCAGTGTCTCCATGGAGAAAATAAGAGTGAACAGGAGAAAGTCGCATCCTGGAAACGTAGTAATAGTTTCAGTATGTGTCTTTAATTCAAGAAATTAAAAGAAAATGGCTGAATATGGTGGTACATGCCTATAATCTTAAAACGGGGAAGGCAGAGGCAGGGGCGTCAATACAGGTTTCAGGTCAGTCAGAGTTAATCAGAGAAAAGAAAAATGGAAAAGAAAGGAACAGATAGATGGATTCTCAATTTTCTGAGACTGTTTTTAGCTATCTAGTTTTGTTGTTGTTGTTGGTTTTCGAGATGAAGTTGAATATTGTTCTTTCTAGGTCTGTGAAGAATTATGTTGAGATTTTGATGGGGATTGCATCAAATCCATAGACTGTCTTTTGACTGTTATTTTACTGTGTTAATCCTATCCAAGAGCATGGGAGATCTTTCCATTTTCTGATATCTTCTTCAATTTCCTTCTTCAAAGACATAAAGTTCTTGTCATACAGGTCTTTCACTGTATGTGAAAGTGTTACCCCAAGATATTTTATATTACTTGTGGCTATTGTAAAGGGTGATGTTTCTCTGATTTTTCTCTCAGCCTGTTTATCATTTGTATATAGGACTACTACTGGCTTTTTTTTTTTTTAAGATAATCTTGTATCCTATCACATTACTGAAGATGTTTATCAACTATAGGTGTTCCCTTGTAGAATTTTTGGGGTCACTTATGTATACTATCATAACATATGTAAATAGCAAAAGTTTGACTTCTTCCTTTCTAATTTGTATCCCCTTAATCTCCTTTTGTTGACTTATTGCTCTGGCTCGTGCTTTAAGTACTATATTGAATAAATATGAAGAGAGTGGACAACCTTATCTTGTTCCTGATTTCAGTGGAATTGCTTTGAGTTTCTCTCCATTTAATTTGATGTTGGCTGTTGACTTGCTGTATATTGCCTTTATTATGCTTAGATATGTTCCTTATATCCTTGAAATTTCCAGGACCTTTATCATGAAAGGATGTTGGATCTTGTCTAAGGCTTTTTCAGCATCTGGTGAGATGATCATGTGTGTGGGGGTTTTTTTTTTCCCTTTAAGTTTGTTTATTTGGTAGATTACTTTGACAGATCTTTGTATCCATCCCTGTATCTCTGGGATGAAGCCTGCTTGATCATAGTGAGTGTTTTTTTTTTTTTTTTTATGTGTCTTGGATTCTGTTTGCCAATATTTTCTTGAGTATTTTTGCATCAATGTTCAAGAGGGAAATTGGTCTGTAATTCTCTCTCTTTGTTGCACATTTGTGTGGCTTGTGTATCAGGGTAGCTATAGCCTCATAAAAAGAGTTTGGCAATGTCCCTTCTGTTCCTATTGTGTAGGAAAGTTTGAGAAGTGTTGGTATTAGCTCTTCTTTGAAATTCTGGTAGAATTCTGTGCTGATACCATCCTGGGCTTTTTTTGGTTGGGAGACTTTTAATGAGTGTTTCTATTCCCTTAGGGGTTATAGGTCTATTTAAATTGTTTACCTGGTCTTGATTTAACTTTGGTATGTGGTACCTATCTAGAAAATTGTCTGTTTCTTTTAGACTTTCCAATTTTGTAAAGTATAGGTTTTTGAACTATCACCTAATGATTCTCTGGATTTCCCCAGTCTCTGTTGTTATATCCCTTTTTTATTTTTGATTTTGTTAATTTGGATAGTCTGCC